TACTGGAAGCAGTGCTTGTACCGCTTTCTCAACCCGCCGGGCCATTCTCAGCGTTCGTAGATATGACGACTGACACGTCACTTTCCAAAGCCGCGCGACGACGACTCGCTTTAGACGACTCTCCCGGCGCAGTGTCGAGAGCGTTCGCTACACGCCGACTTCCCACTGGTCAGGCAAGTGTTGGGCTCCAAATCTCGCCTGTTCGACACCGGTTCAGTGGACGCCGCCATGAAATTATGGGGCAAACAACTGCGTCACAACGGCAATGCCATAGCTACGCAGATGTTTGCCCCGTCTTTTTATCACTGCGTCCGTTAACTGAGTTTCGTAATCATGACGAAAATTACCCGAGGGTGTGGTAAAAGATGGGGAACTTTGTAAAAGATAAAAGGCACAGAAAATGGATCGTCTCACTACCCGAATGAATAAAAGGACATTTCGTGGCCACGCCTATTTCCGTTACACTTGGCTCCATGCATGGAAATACCCAGACGCCACCTCCTGCCCATTATCGACCACTCCAGGAAACACTCCAGCACGCACCTCCTGGAGGGCCGAGTTTCAGCGGCGCCTCGTGGCGGGGCCTGGAACGCTGTATATTTTTTCGTCTTTTCCGCGCTGCACCAGGTTGTTTTGGGCTCTATAGTGTTGGCGGCGCGCGGTCGCAGCCAATACTATCTGGGCCCGTTTGCTCGAAGCTGGTTAAGGTGTATCCACACGACGGACCGGGCCGCGGACCGATAGATCACGTGATGCGCGGCCCGCGGGCCGCCCGGCTGCAATGAGCATCCACACGGCGGACCAAAAGAGCAGACGACAGAGTGAACGGGCCGGTCTAACCCTCGACCTCACAGCTCCGCCAAACGCGTGCAACGAGCTGCTTTGAGGCTATTTGTAATGAGCCAAGATGGAGGTTGAACGAAAGAGACTTTTGGCCGCAGTGGCTTTGGCGTTGACTATTGAAGACGAGGAGGACTTAAGTGAACCGGAAAGGGCATGCATCTATTGTCCCACAGAGCGGGAAATTGCTCCACGAGCGCAATGAAGTAAAAAGTTGCATCGTTGCACCATGCCGCCATCGTCGCACAACAAAAGGTTTGTCGTCTTCGTCTTCAACAGTTGGCGCCAAAAGAACACGACTTTGGATTTGGATTCCAATCCAAACAAAAGTCAGCTTGTTGCCAGACTTAGCACTTCAATTATACTAAAAACGCCGCGGTCCGCCGCCAAGGTCCGGGCGAGAAAACTGGCTTGGCATTTCTCAGAAGCGCGGGCCGCGGACCGCCGGCGGACCTCGAAAAGCGGTGACGTAAGATCACGTGATGCGCGGCCCGCGGACCAAAACAGCAATTTGGTCCGTCGTGTGGATACACCTTTAACTAACCGCGGTTAACCGGATTTCCCTACGAGGGGGAATTTCGGGTCACGTGACCGGCAGAGTACGGACGGCGGGGAAACATGGCGGTGCCCCGGTGAGCGAGCGCCGCTCGCTTTGAAACTAATATGTCGAAGTAGCTGCAGTAGCGGGCGCGTTAGTCAGTAATGAATGGTGCAGGAGGTTTTCGCGTTGCCTTACCTCACTTAAAACGCAAAACATAAGCAATGACCTCGCCGCATTTTTTAGATAGACTTTCGACTCTGGCCATTCCTAAGCCTAAATGAACGCGATAGTTGGCATGACAACGTCTTTGGAAAGTGGATTGCCTTGACTCAATCGGCCGGGTATTGATAGCACACAAAAGCATGCTACGAGCGTAGTTACACGCGCTGCACCTGCTGGCGTCTGCAGTAATAACTGTTCTGAAGCAAAAAGCGTATAAAACAAATTTTGCCGTGCACGCGCGTTCGTCAAAGATTTATTATGATTGTTTACTTTAAATCTTTTATAAGTGGAACGCCTGCGCGCGCGGATCGTACAATTACACTTCCAGCGTTCTTCTCGATGTTCGGGTAATTTACTCATAGGTCAATTTTCAGTGGAGCCGAATTACAGGTATTTCAGTTTATGACGGTGTTATATACAGTTCTTACAGGCTGGCCAACCATGCTGCCGGTGTACCGCCCGCCTTTCACTGCTCACTTCTTTCTCATCGTTTCTAGGACTCAACTTCGTCGTCCTCTTTCAAACTCGGAAGGAAATTTCAACGAGGCTTTTCTTCACTTCATACAGCCAAATATTTAGAAAATTTTCAAAGAAGGATTAATTTAGTTTTACCTTGCCAATTATTTGTACCACGAGCAATAACAATTGTTTCTTAAGCTCAAATGTATGCCGCGCTGCGTCGCGAAAACCAGGCAGCGCGCAATTTCTGGGTCCCCCCATTTCGGGAACCTTTCCACGGAAGCCACGTATATTCGCTACAACCAGTAGGTGACACCAGCTACCACCCAATAATAAAACACGGAGCTATCGCTCATCCAGCCCTCGTCAAGCTTGGCTAGGTACTTGTAGGTACCTAGTAGGGAAGGGCGGTTGTTAAGCGGCTTCGAGCAAACGGGTTCTGGTGTTGGCTGCGCAAACTAAAAAAAAAAAGGAGCGAACTAATTAAGAATTGGACTCCTTTAGCATCTTTTACGCAGAGAAAAAACATTTTACAGCGTGAACGTGTTTGAAACCAGGAAGCGCGATCAGTTGGCACGCAACTACGGATAACAGAAGAACCCGACGAGGTAGGAGGACCGAGTTTGCTTTACGTCGTAATTTTTTTTTTTCTAGAATTTCGTGCGCGAAGGTTGTGCCGTGATTTGGTGGGTAACCAGCCGTAACAAAAACAGAGCTCAGCACGTGCTTCCCCTTAGCCAAGCACGTGGTTAAGGGCAAGCGACGTAGCAACGCGAACACAAAGGAGGGGGGAGGGGAGGGGGGAAGGGTGCAGGCGTTGTTCAGTAGGCCTTGAGCAAAACGCACGGGGGTTCAGCATACTGCCTAACACCCCCTGGAAAATGTCAGCGGGTGCTCAAGCCCCCGTTGGAACCCCCCCCCCCCCTCCCCCCCCCCCCCCCCCCCCCCCCCATTTCCCCGATTCCGGGGTCCCTGGCACAGGTTAGTTAATCAGAAGACATCGACGCCATCTATCGCGAAGCAATAAAACGCTTCAGATCTGTGGAGATATCCTAACTTTTTACGCGTCATTTTGTCTGCGTGGTCTTGGAATAATCCTGACAGTGTTAAGTGACACTTTTTCATAGATTGTGCACACACGTGATATCGCAAACACGGCGGAACCTTCAGTCTACTTTTACGCAGACCGGAGGTTTTCCAAGGCTACCCTATTAGCGCCGAGATGTTTCGGTGGCGCCCTCTTATGGTTTCCCTCCGTGACGTCACGACTGGGATTTGCCTCGCCGTGACGTCACCAGTTGTTATTCTGGCTACTTACCATCGGGTGCGACGACGAGTTCGATGGTGCGTTTAAAAACCAAAGTAGAAGCTAGGAGCCATCGCAATCCGAAACTAACACCGTCAAAGTTGATAATCTGACAGTGCTCATATGCCCATGGTTTGGCCAATCGTGGAAAGCTGACAACAGCGACGCTTTTGGCCGCGGACATCGCTAATAGGTGGCGCCAGTGTGCCAGTGCATAAGCGCTTACAGGCGGTTGCAACGACCTCGGCCACACTCAAATGCAAATGTGTAAACCAGCCGTCATAGCTTCAAGCATTAAAACATAAACGCTACGTACGCGCCGTACGAGCCAGCGGTACGGGCCAGGTTCCCCGACCGACAGAGCTTGGCGCAGATCCCGTGGCACTTGCGCGTCCCAGCTTTGCTCCGTCTTCTAACGGTTTCGCCTTCCTCTCCCTCGTGGTAATCTACCTACCCCTATATTTGTGACGTGTACGACCCTTGCTTGCTCCTTGGCGTTTTTCGCGTCTATCACTTGAAGAAGGGCGTCCGCCCGAAACGTCGTGTATACCTCCCTGTCCAGGTAATTTTTCGAGTAGCACAACTATACATTTGCGTTTACGTGTTCAACCCGACACCAGACTTGGACGTAGTTCAACTACTCTACTCAAACTACAGTAGTTTAGCTACTTTTTCGAGTAACTTGGTAACTTTCAATTACTACTTTATTTCGGTAATTATAGTTGGTTGCAAGCTAAGAAAAAACCTGAAATGCCTCTGGGAGGAAAATGTAATCCTACGCCGAGAAACGCCAGCCAATCGTTTTCATGACGTCACGATTCCGTGGACCAATCGCGATCCTTTTGAAAAAAAAAAGAAAAAAAGAAGGTCAACATGGCTGCTGGCCTTAGCAACGCGACGCTAGTTTCTCGTGACAATTATTCTGCTTTTTTGCACCGTGTTTTACGTGCCCGAGGTTACGCCACGAAATCTTAATGGTATCGGCTTGCGTTTGCAGCAGTTTTTGCGCGACCACGTGAGAATCCAGCGACGCTATCGCCAACAAAAATTTAGAAGCGGGCGCGAGGCTTAGCACTGCTGAGAGGTATGTTAGACGGTATGTCAGACAGTATCTTGGACAGAAAATGAATTGGGAAGACGGTACATTGGACATGACTTTCTTTCTTTACTAAACAGCTATTTCGTTGACAAGAACGTATTCTAACTTATTTAAATGTCCTGAATGAATTAAATAAATATTGTAGTAGTTTAAGACACGTTTCCTGGAGGAAGAAAAAGCAACGTTGCTAGCGAACTACTTTCTCGACGGCGGAGGCACTTCACATGGGCGCAATGCGCTCGTGAGTGGAGCTAAAAGATTGTTCTTAGGTTGCATCCGACTATAGTAGTTTAATTTAACTACGTTTTTCAAGTAACTTCTACTCGAACTACTAAATAATTTCGAAATCTAGTGCTAATTTGGCTCATCACGTAGGTTTGAGCGCAGAAATAAATAAGACGCCGGCAGATGAAGTGGCATTCCCGAACAAGGGGCCCCCTCAGATTCCGTTCCCACGCACTTATACTCGGCATCCGCAGAAACTGCATCACAGGCGTCCTTTGGCCAAGCTTATATCTGTTCGTATCCTTCACCTGAGTGTCCCTCTGCCACATCATCTCCGTTGGCCAATACGGAATTGGGATTGCCATCATCACATCGGCGGCAACCCAACAAAGAACTTCAACTTCTCTCAATGACACGAGAGAGAAACAGAGAGAAGAGAACCTTAACTGACGAGCAGCCAAGACATAACACCGGCGCGCACGAACGCAGGCAGAGATGCTTAACAAACCTTGGTCGGGTATTCAACTCATCCGGTAATGCACGCAGGCGCCGCACCTCCAGCCGCAAGCGTGAAAGACGAGGACACTCCTAGTGTTGTTGTTGTTTTCATGTTCTCTGCCTTTAGTGAGTTCTGCCTTCGGCGGTTTGGGGGTTCCACGGGAGACGCCAGTGGAATGACCTCGCAGCTAGGTGCCTGTTCGCACGGTCGCCTCGTCGTCAGCGCATATTCACTTGCAAAGCCGTCCTTCCAACCTTCCACGACAGGGAGACCTCCTTTTTGATAAAAACGATTTACGTGTCGGGCGCGTCAGGATACCGTAGTCGCCCGCGAGGATTGCGAGTCACCCTTGGGAGATCCTTTTATTGGACCCGGCGTCAGCTTCGAAGTATACGTTTCACCTTCTGTAAAACCAAAACAATTTTGTTTTTCAGTAGCGTAGCACTAACACTGTAACGAGACGCGCAGTCGTCCGGATTATGTCATCGTCGTGGCGCGAGACTTGAACCCTGGACGGTCAGGTGCACTCGCTCAGCGTACTCTCCGAACTTCGTGGGAATAAAAAGGGGCCAGTCATAGCAATCGCAACTTGCCGAAGGAAAAATAAAGCAGGAGAGTGTGTTCTAAAAGAGCCTCTAGTCGAGGCAAACCTCACATGTTTCGTCATGGACACCTAAGATGCCGACACTCGCTTACCCGACCCTCCACAGCCTGTTTTTCAAATTCAAAGCTGCCGTTCCACCCAGCGCATCGGTGGAACGCCTTTTTAGCCTGGCTGGGGACGACTTTAGGATGAAAATGGGAAAACTCTCCTATCAAGAACTTTGAAGGTCAATTGCTTGCGAGCCAATAAACTATATTGGTGGGCTTTTCACGGATCAAAACTGCTATTCATCTTGCTACCACAAAAATATAAAAAAAGTAACTTTGGAAGTAACTTCAAAGTAGCTCGATACTTTTTACAGTAGTTAGTATTTTACTCAATTACTATTACAAATGCGCAATTTCTACTCTATTCCAATCACGTTTGGCTTTAACTCAGTAACTTAAGCTAACTACCTTTTTTGAGTAATTTGTACATGTCTGCCCGACACCTCCGGTTTCAAGAGCGAGGCCCTGCGGAGTTTCCCCTCTCCTGGGGGGCTATGTTGCACGTTTTACACTCCCAGGAGACTAGGGAGAAGGAAGTGACGTCAACAACGCAGCAAATGCAGATTGGATGTTGATTTTGTTTTCTTTTGTCAACATCCAATCTGCGTTTGCTCGAGTCGCTGACGTCACTTCCTTCTTCCAAGTCTCCTGGGAGTCCAAAAAGCGCAACATAGCACCCCTGTCTCTCTTCTGGCTGAAACATAAGCAGCGGAAGACCGCCGCCGCATCCCGGCATGCAGAAGATGCTCTGTGCTGGTTTTGACTGGACGCTTTTCTTTTCCTCAAATAAACTCAGTTAACCGCAACTTGACTCAGCCACCGTCACTCTTATAACACACATCAGTAAATGTAATAGATATCTTCATTATATGATACAATTTGTTTCAGACACACTGCAGCGACGAAGTTTTAGGTGCTTTCCGCGGCTTTATTTGTTATAAATTTTTGAAAGCGCTTGTATCATATGTAAATTATCGCGCAAAGCATTTATAACAAACATTTTGGTGCTCGTGCAACATATCCTTATACATATATCTGTTTTGTGACACTCACAGTATGATCACTGCCAAGTTCAAGTACTGTAAGCGACTTCATGTTCGCGAGGACCTATGTTTGGCGAAATGCGCCAATTAAAGAATATTATGGGGAAACGATACCGCGAATGTATTACCCTGTGGTGACTAAGGTAACTAATGAAAAGCGTAGCACCCCCGATCGCGAAATTTTGTAATGAAAGTATTCCTGAAATTGACACTCCGCGAAATTCGCGGAATATTGAGCCCGCGAGAATAATGTCGTATACAGTAACTGGCAGACACAATTAATAATAAAACAGTTGAACACAATTTATAAACTCTTACACGGGCCCCTAAATCGCCTGCAAGTCGATAGATAGAAGGTAAATAGAAAGTTTATTTAGTGCCTGCCAACACACTCTCAAAAAAGTACGTGCGTCTACTTTCCCGCACAACACTCGGAGAGCCAATCAGTGCAACTTACGGGGGCAGCTCAGCGAATGACGATGCCGAAACATATGTTTCGACCAGAAAACGCAGTCTGAGTTGCGACATTAAGCAATGCAAAACGTCACTCTTGCAATGCTTAATGTCCCAACTAAGACTGCGTTTTTTGGTCTCAACATATGTTTCGGCATCGTCATTCCCTGAGCTGCCTCCGCAAGTTGCACTGATTGGCTCTCCGAGTGTTGACGCACGGGCTTTTTTTAGAGTGCAGCCAAGAGTCTGCGCCGCAGTACGCTTTACGAGAGTATCGTTACTAAAGACATATTCATGAAATACAGTCCACAACGCATCCTAGGAGAGAAAATGGACGATAAATGATACATTTATGAAGACACTTTCTCCCATATATATATCTAGAAAAACACTTTTTTTCCTATATATAGGAACATAATTGCAAGTGAAGTTTTTGAACGTCTTATTTGAGGTATTCTGTAGTAAAGAGTTTGGCGTTGTCAACCCTTTAGGCGGTAAAGCAGTTTTGTTCAGTATTCAAAGAGCCTCAGACTTTTTTTTTGTTCCCCAAGTGACCTACTTAGATAAATGCATTATAAACCAGTAGTGCAATATTATGACCTGTGGGATGGATGTGGCATATCGTATTAATTTTAATGCTAAATATTATATTTACGTTCAAAGGAAATAAAACCAAGAAAACTAATACCAAATTTGCTTCAAGCCAAATCCCCCGAAAAAAGAAACAACAACATGGCATTCTTTTTTTTTTATATTGCAACGACCAACAAAAACCGTTGCTTACCGAAAAAAGTAATACTTTTTACATTACCTAAATCTATTAATTGGTAATAGCAAACAAACCGCGTGAAAAAAAATAAAAAAAAGCAGCAACAGAGGTTTTTTTTTTATATTTCATGTACTCAAAGTGCAGATTTAAGGACTTTTAAGAGTCGTATAAAACTTTAGTTAGAGTCCGCAAAAACTATGTCTATCTCTCCCTAACCAGACAGACCTCTGTCGAAAATGTTTACGTATAAAAAGACACGCTGGAATTACGTCAACGCTGCCACTCGTCACTAAAATGTTTTGTAACGTTTCAATCGCCCTTTAATGAATTAGCTGGGGAGTTCAATGACTTCACTAATTCTTGTTGTTTTAGAAACTGGCCGATCATTTTGTGTGTAGGCTTAGGCACATCAAACCCAGGATCATGCCCAGCTCCAACAAAAAGGACGTACGTCACATTCCCTCCTTTTTTTACATAGCCATTCAAATAGTCAGGGTCATCTTCGTCGTACCAGGCAACTCTCTCCTTTCTGAAATCTTCCGACCCTTTCCATTCCAGACTGTTGTAGAATCTATCCATGTTAATCGCAGGGAAGATCGTGTCAAGCTGGCCGCCGTATATTAAAACCCTGTAGTTGTCAAAAACACTTTGCACCATTAAAGTGATGTTGGTGAAGAAGTCAACCATTCCCATGCTAATAACGACGCCCGGCATCTGCTTTCTGAAAACTGCATCAGAACCAACGTGAATCCTAGTTTTGAAGTCTGAGTTGTTGACATACTTTTTATATTCTACAAACTCCTGTGGTATCCTGGTGTGAAGGACACTTGCATCAAAATTGTAGCCCGTTAGTCTCTGAAAAAGCGTTGGATTCTTTTTAGTGTAATCCTGAAATACTGTCTTAAAAAAAGTAAATAACTGTATTGTTCTGTTAGTCTCTTTTGTGAGGTTTTCAAAGGCTTGATGAAACAAAACTTTCGATGTGGTGTTCAGCATTCCGACAGAGAAGAGGAATTCTGACGAGTCAATGGTTTCTAGCAGTGGACCAAGGAACGGAGATCCCGCAACGACTCCTTTCAGGTTGAATCCAGTGGCCGCATCTTCTTGATGTTTGTTTTTAGAGATGTAGTGCGCAAAACCGACTGCAAGTCTACCTGTAAAAAATATATATATAAGAGAAACAATGAAAATCTGACCAGGCTAATTAGTGGGTTTTGAATCCCGGTGTCACGTTCTACTGTTACGTCACGATGCACATGGACTAAAGAACACGTCACGGTCAATTCAGTAAGCCCAAAAAGGATACACTTGTATGATATTTTCTTTTTCCTCTGAAAACTGTGGAGCAGATGAACAGGAATATCCGGTGGCACCTTGGATACCTTAATCTGGGAGATAGTTTTGTGTTTACCAAAAGCATTTATGTATATAATGTGTTTACCAAAAGCATTTATGTATATAATCCGTCGAAGATTTTTACAGCAGCGACAAATGTGAGTTACATCGCTTTACCCTTTTTATTTTATTTTTAGCGATTGATTTAGATTTTTTTATGTCCGCCGCGTCGTAAGTTGACCATTCATATCACTTGATTTAAGTCTGAATAACCTGTTTTTTTTGTTTTTCTTTAATTTTGTGTGCGACCGAAAATTTTCTCAAATTACCATATCGAATAAGTTCGCGTGGTTTGATGTAACCATACATAGGTATATAAATTACAAAATGTAATTTAATTACAATTACAATTACTACGCCTGAAAAGTAGCTTAACTACAATTAAAATTAGTACTACGTGAAAAGTATTTAATTAAAATTAGGTATTGCTTTTAAAAGATAATTTAATTACTTTACAATTACTCATTCTTAGAGCGACTCAATATCGGCCATATACCTTTAAACGAGTTGTATAAAATGCAATACATTTGTTTATTTCTTGCCCAAATGTTTGAA